TTGCTGATTTTGTGTTTGGCAGGTTGCAGACCAGAGCAGCAGATGATGTACGCAGGAAGCAAAAACAAGCTGGTGCAGACTGTCGAGCTGACCAAGGTTAGTAAAGGTTTTAAATAAGACTGAGTTTTGATATTTTTCTTTTGTTTCTGTGTTATTTGTTTTCTATTTTTCAGTATTTTTCCTTTTCTGATTTATTCAATTTAGTTGTATAGCACTTAGGTCAATCCCTGTTGTTTCTAAATGTGCTTATATATAAATTGACTTGACTTTTATGATACACCAGTTTAATGTCACTTTGCTGACATCAAACTGGTGAAATGATATAGCCCACTCTAAATGTAATGTGGCTATTTCCTCTACCTATGAAATTATGAGGGCTCAAAAAGAAATAACACAAATTAAAATGTATAAAAATCCATGTGACTTTGAGACCTTGTAAATTTTTAGAAATGATTAAAACACTGTATTTAAAAAAATCAACTTAAAGGAGGAGGTAGTTGAGAATATTTTTTGTCCAGATTTGGGATATTTTTTTCATGAAATGAGCCAGTGTCATGGGTGTATTTGGTGCAGCTCTTATATTCTTGTATTTGCCACATTAATTTTTAAAATTAAATAAACTGGTAGTATAAATTTGAATTACTTCTATCAGTTGTGTTAACTGCACAGATCTATCGACGCGCAGTGCAGCCCACCACTGTGGTCCAAACTGAAATATGTCAAGAACTGCTGTGTAGATTGCCATGTGCCATGTAATGTAGTCATATGAAAAAGAAAGTTTCACAGGGTCTGTGTAGCCTTGTGAAAAACGAAGTACTCCCCTACACACAGAGTAAGTGGGGAGTGCTGCTAATCACTTGATCAACTGATAGCAGCAAATCTGATCAGAGCATGCGATGCTAAGAAAAATTGCAAATAAATTAAGAGCTACATCTCAGTCCATAGAGGCCTCACTATGCATTTCAAATGTTCATCAGAGAAAACTGAAAAAGTATGGCTTGTTTTGAAGGGCTACCAGGAGAAAGCATCTTGTCTCTAAAAAGAACATGGCAGCACATCTTAGGTCTGCAAAGCAGAATCTAAAGAAATCACAAGACGTCTGGAACAATATCCTTTAGGCAGAAAGACACACAAACACCTTGTACCAGTTGTTAGCACGGCGGTGGAGGGGTGATGATTTGGGCACCTTTCAGTCAGTGGGTCTGCACGGTGAACTCCTCTGTATGCCAAAGTATTCTAGAGTCGAATGTGAGGCCATCTGTTCAACGGCTAAAGCTTAACCCAAACTGGGTCATGCAACAGGACAGTGATCCCAACATCAGCAGCAAATCTACAACAGAATGGCTGAAAAAGAAAAGAATCAAGGCGTTGCAATGACCCAGTCAAAGATCAGACCTTAACTAGATTGAAATGCAGGGAAATGTGGGGTGGGAGTTTAAGAGAGCTGTGCATAAACTCATACCTGCAAACTCAATAAACTGAAGCAATGTTGTAAAGAAAAATGGGTGAAAACTCCCCCACAGCCGTGTGAGAAAGTGATAGTCCTTCCTTTTCTTTTCAAGGTGTTTGAGATCAGAAACACAGAGGACCTCACAGAGGAATGGCTTAGAGAGAAACTTGGGTTCTTTCGCTAAACCCATCACCTCCTCCAGGGGTCTGGGATACGAGGAGAATCCTGATTGCACAACTCGTAACATCTCTTGGAGACAACACACCACAGTTAACCTTCCCCTCCTCCCTGCATCAGACCTGATTTAAATAGTGTTTGCAGTCATCTGTTTTAGGCCTGCTCGGTGGCGTTTAACGCTCAGTACAACTCATAAGATGCCAGAAGGTGCACACAATTACAAGAGTTTGAATGCTTCTCTGTGACTGCCAACATTTCTGGCACTTATTAAACCTCACCGATCTGGCAGCCTAAAACTGACCATACTGTTTGAAGCAGGTCTGTTATTGTCTCCATACAATCTCTCCATATTTCTCTTACGTGTCTGTTTTGAATTAACGAGGGCTGCCCCCATTAGTCAACCAAAGACTCAAGTCATGATTAATTGACACTGACACTCAGTTATTTGTGCCAGATACTATTGTTTACACAGCTACTCCCTGAGCTCTTTGGCTGATAGTTGCATATTATGAACAGGAAACCTAAAGGGTGGGATTACTTTGAGATAATAGGATAAGTGTTATTACTGTGCTATCACTTTTCTTTCTCAGCCCTCCCTCCTAAAATACACATTTAAATACTTAAATTAATATGAGAAACATATAATTGCAACTTCTACTCGACTAAGAAAGTCTTTGTTTGGGGGGGCAGCCCTAGAATTAATGTTCTCATTGCTCTTCAAGTGCAGAAATTGACCATTTCTACCATTCAAAAGAATTCAAACACTTTTTAACAACACTTTCTCTTTCTTCTAGATGTTTACACTCAGAACCTCCTAAGTTTTACCGTTTTATGTTCATTAGATTTTAATAATCTGAGAGAGTCTTTTTTTTTTTAAATATTTAGTTATTTCTGGTGTCTTTAGGGTTAGCTAAGTATATACTTTATATTCATTTTATTTCTTTTATTGTGAAAGACAAACTTCCTGCCAGAACCTCGGAACAATCATAGCTACAATTCTGTTTTGTTTTACTCCGTCTCTCCTTTAGTCAAGGGCATTTCAGTTATAATTTACAGTAACACTAATATATCTATCTATATGATATGCGTTGCACCTTCTCCTGTGCACAAGAACACAAGCTGGCAGAAGCCCTTGAGTGGTGCTTATTTAGCTGCAGATGTAACCCTGTTAGTCTGTCATCAGTTTTTTTTTTTTTTTTAAATCTCTGTTTAGAGGAGAGAAAAAAACAGTGTGAATTGTGGGTAATGCGTTCAACCTGCATGTTTATTACAAGAATCCAACACTCCAGGAAAACGATATTTTTCCACTGAAACATTCCAGATGTGAACAGTTACACACAAAAATCTCTGTCTCTAGCGACCATGACAGTGATGATTACACTGCATTACACAGGGCGGTAGTTCCCGCCCTCATTTTAATCTACTGGGCGACTCTGTTTAAATGGGTTACTGTGTCTTTAGGGTGATTGTTAGCTCCTATCGTGCATTATAGCTCTTACTGTTATTGGTGTTTATGAATGTCGTACTTAAATCCGTATGTAAAGCCACGTGAATTGCTTCATGGTTGTCGCAGCCTTGAGAATGACGGCTGCGATTTCTCCAAACGCCAGATGTGCCAGAATTGGCAGGTAAATGACAGCATCTGGCCGATTTACATTCTCCATGCAGACGCGGGATTTGACCGGTGTAGCTTTTTCTTTGAAAGGCTGATATTTATGTATTGAATGTGCCAGCAGCTCATTTTTGTGCCAATGTCTAATATCCTCAGCTCAGCTCAGTCTGTAGTTTTTGTTTACCCAATTTTTCTTAGCTTTGAGCATTTTTAAAATACATTGTGCTGGAGCACACAGCTCAAACACTTTACAAACGGATGTATTTGGCTTTTCATGCCCCAAAGGGACAGCATTTTTTCCTGGCTTTTGGTTCCCTGCTGAATATTGCCAGTATTTAAGCCAGTGCAGCACACTACCCAAAGGATTAGTAGCAGCATGACCAGCCCCAGATAGTTAAAGCTGTATAAGAATGTACTATGCATGTATTGCAGATAATACAGACTGGTTTTATTGTGATAAAACAGGAGTAACCTCAGTAGTAAGTGACCCGAGTAGCAGACTTCTTTTTTTTATTTATAATACTACAAATGTCCACTTTTACCCTGAATTATATTGCTGAATTAAAGCCCAGAAATTCTCCAGATAGTGCATGATATTATATTGCTAAGGCTACCATACCAAGGCCATGCTGCAAGGTCAAAACCTGTTTTTCTCTGATGGCGTCTATGCCCTCATAAACAACAGAAACTCTCCCAGAGATCTGGCTCAAAGATGTTTTCATACAATCAAACTGCTCCACATGCATCATTCGTAAGGGCAGGGTTTTATCCAACAGGAGCAAAGGGGACATAAGTGTAATCACTTGTTTTAATGTCTACTAATAGCAGAAAAAAAACAAATCCACTAGATTAAATGACCTTTATATGACCTGAAAAACCCTTCAGAAAGTCTGTAAATTCAGGAATATGCACAGCTTGAAATGAACACTGTTTATTCAATGCAATTGAAATGTGCAATGTACTGGGTTAGATGTGAATATATTTATCTTTCTAAATTCTAAAGACCTCTAAAATGTGGAGAGCTACTGTAGAAGAAGTGTATGCTTTAAAGTAAGTAAGCCTTACAGAAGGCTTTACCGATGCTTTCTGAACAGCTACACAAAGTCTCTGACATCGTTTATTTGCACATGAACGCTATAAAAGGTTTGCATCACAGTCGTCAGGTGTGATATCTGAAGTGTGTCCAAACTGACATTAATTTCTCTAAAAGAAAGCCTCTGCTGTTGCTATTTTAAATGGGATGTATAAGAAACTGTCCATTCATCGTGTATCAAACTCAGTCTCCCTAATGTAAGGTCCAGTTAACTAAGAGCCCCCTTTGGTTTTGAGCCATGTATCTGGTTATGTCCTGTGGATCTCTAACAGCTTTTTATCTTTATGTGGTGAATGCATATGGTTTTTGGCCTCTAGTGGTTTTTTTTGTTTTTTTTTACTTTAACCTGCAATTGTGTTGTCAGCGCTCGGTGTCCTCTGATTAAATGCCTATTCTATTTTCTTTCCTTTTTACTAAAAAAACCCACCTGAAACATCTGTCATAACCAGCTGCCTCGTGGCATCAGTGAAACTTGAGATATTTGTATTTTCCCATACTTTATAAAAGTGTCTTGTCCTGTTGTCCAAATAAAATGACAGTGATGTTTACCCATGTGTTTCCAGAGACTGCTGTTTTCAAACTGAAATGGTCATATGAGCTTCATCAGAGATGGTCTTGGTGTCTGAACACAGAAAAGTACCATCAGAATTTGATCCGTCATGTAATACCATCTGGACAACATCTAATTGGCCCTGACTTTATTTTTAGGCACAACAATGATCATAAACACACTACCAATGCAGTAAAAGCATACCTGGATAGAAAACCACACAATGGACACTATTCCTGAAACTGTGGGACTCCAGGAGATAAAGAAAACACCGAAGTTCAGAAAGAAATTCCAGGAGATGGCGCTAATGCATGTTAAAAGTGATTTCAGATAAGTAAATGGTCCAGTAGGTGGCGGTAACGCACCCTGCTGTAAGATGGTTGACTTGCAGCCACTAACACTCAAAGAAGAAGGAGAAGAAGCAGCAGTAATCGGTTGGGAAGCTGCCTGCATCATCTGCCGATCGAGCCAGGAACCGACCAGCAGAACCGGAGAAAAATGGCGTTCACATTCGCGGCCTTTTGCTACATGCTGGCACTGCTGCTAACGGCCGCGCTTATCTTCTTCGCTATCTGGCATGTAAGTACACATTTCTAGGTCGCCTGCCAAACGGTGCGGACGTAAAAGTAGGTGAAAGAATGAGAAAGACGGGCTAACAGTGAGCTAACGAAGCCTGGGAATGAATGGCACACACCCTGTCCGGTCGGCTAGGACAACAAGTTAGCAGTTTTAACACCAAGACGTGTTTTTAATAAACTATTTCCCATCATCCATATAGAGCTCAACACCACTTTTACATGTTTTATACCCCTTTATTTTGTTTGTATCGCTTGCCAGCTCAGAGTGCAGTGTTGGCTAGTTAGCATGCTAAGCTAACGTTTGGCTGTCATGTGTTTATCGACATGTCACATCTCTGCATTGTGTAATACCGCCAGGTTTTGCAGTCAAAAACCCCAACGTAAGCATGGGGAGTTTGGAGCACATTAAACTAGCTGTAAATAATTAAGTAGCTGTTCAGTCATTTACTAGATTGAGGTAATCAGTGACGTGGCTTGGGATAAATAATAAATAAATAGATAAATAAACTTTCCAGTTTGGATATCTTCAGTTTTCTGCTTCTGGCTGGTCATATTGGAGAACTTACCTGTTGTATTGTGAATAAATAACTTGAAGACAGAGAACATGCAATTTGCTTTTGAATGCAAACCAAATACTAATTTTCTTTGATTTTCATTCATATCACTGATTAAAAAGCTTATTTGAAGTAATACAATCATACAAGGTAATCATACTCCTTTCTGTAAAAGACCCTCTCTAAGTATTTCAAACCATGTTTCAAACAAATCAGCCTCACAAATAAGTTAAATATGAGAATTTAGCTTATCTGATTGTATCCACACTTGAAATCAGGGTTCAGTATTTTGCCGAAGGATACCTGACAAGTATTCTATCACCTGAGCCACAGCCTACCCAATACCCGAAGATGTAGTAAATTAATTTTCTATAAAATGACCTATTTTGTTTAGATTCTGCTTTTTTATTTTTTTTTTATTTTTTATTTTTTTTAAAAGATGGTGCTGCATCTTAAATTTTTTTGTTCCTGTTTTTTAACATGTCTCTGGTTACTGCAAGCAAAAGAATAAGGGAGCAGTTTTGGTGTGAATATTATACGTGTTATTGGGATATTTTACCACTTTAATGTAGAGCAAAGGTGTCAAACTCTGGCCCGTGGGCCAAATTTGGCCCGCAGCCTAGTTACATTTGCCCCGCGAAGCCATACCAAATTACTATTAGAGCTGGCCTACTGGTATTATACAGCTAATATATATATTGTTTAGTATTAAGCTTTGCTTGTTCCATATTCAGTTTTTCAGCAAAACGTGTTTGAGTCCATTAGAAAAGATTCATTCTTATATCTGGAGGAATAAATATATTTCAATAAATATTAACGTTAACTCGCGACTTTGTTTCAGTTTTGAATTTTGGCCCACTGTGTATTTGAGTTTGACACCCCTGATGCAGAGGAATCATTCACTAACAAGCAAATGATCCTCTGTATGATTTCGGGAGGAGATAGAAATCCCTTTGGGGCTGTGTCAGGAAGGACATCCAGCATAAAGACTCTGCCAAATCAAAAATGTGGAGCCACTGTCGTAGCCCCTTGTGAAAAAGGGTGCCTAAAAGTAGCTTTTATTCTATGCTAAAGTTTGTCAAATGGCCTGGCCTGTATTTATATAGCGCTTTACTAGTCCCTAAGGACCCCAAAGCGCTTTACATAACCAGTCATCCACCCACGCATTCACACACTGGTGATGGCAAACTACATTGTAGCCACAGCCGCCCTGGGGCGCACTGACAGAGGCGAGACTGCCGGACACTGGCGCCACCGTGCCCTCTGACTACCACCAGTAGGCAACGGGTGAAGTGTCTTGCCCAAGGACACAACGACCGAGACTGTCCAAGCCAGGGCTCGAACCAGCAACCTTCCGATTACAAGGCGAACTCCCAACTCTTGAGCCACGATCGCCCCAGCCACAAAGCTGAGGGTATAGCAGATGAGTTTGTTTGAGCTGATTATAACTTGGGGTTTAGTCTTTTCTGAAAGCCATTAACCATGAGTGACATGCATAGTCATAGTTTGGTTGGACTAGAACAGATCATTTATCATTTGCCTTTGTTTTACTGAGATGAATTAATATTTTGTCTATAGGAGTGGAATTTTTGCAGTTACCTTATACATGATACATTTTTAGTTTCTCCTAGATGTGTTAAATGATTAGTTGAGCTAATTTCAAACAGAGTCACATTTGGCTAACAGAATTCTACCCTTGTTATGTTTGCAGTTACTGGCAAAAAGCATAACTTCAGTTTTCCTAAGAGGAAGTCAAAGCTTATTTTCCTGTAGTCAGAGGCTAACAGATTAGAATTTTAGTTAAATATTGTTAGGATTAGGGGAAAAAAGTTCGCAATACAGAGCTTCAGACCTGTTATTAATGTAGATGGGGAAAAGTAATAGACCTGAAATAGATCCTTGTGGTACACCACAAGTAACATTTCCAGCTGGTGACCTTTTGTCACCTATTGATTAAATCTATTGCTTTTATATTCATCCACAGTATTAAAAGCCATTTGAAAGTCAGTAAATACCGCACCAGTATACAAGGCATTATCCATATTAAATCAAATTTTATTGTGAAGGTATATAAGAGCAGTATGGGTAGTGTAACCTGGTAAAATATTATTGCACCTGCTGTCCTCTGAGTCTCTGTTTTTAACATTTTACCATTGATCACCTTGGTCCTTCAGATAATCGCTTTCGATGAGCTGAAGACTGACTACAAGAATCCTATAGATCAATGTAACACTTTAAATCCGGTAAGTGATCTCACCTCTTCAGCTATCACACCTTCCTTGCATGCAGATATGCTCTGATGAAAGATGTTCTCTTTATTTTAGTACAACTTTATCCACCTATCTGTCTTTTTCTCTCATTTCTCTGCACTGTTATGCTAAATAACCTGCCTGTTATAACTTCAGTGATCTTGTCAGCTGTCAAACTCTAACAGCCTTTTTGTTTTTCCTTATCTGCTTTTTTTTTTTTTTTTTTAAACCACTTTTAACGACAAAAAGACAGTTGAAAAGGTCAAAAAGATTAAAAGAGTCAAAATTGCATTAAAGGTTTGTACCAATCTTTAAAATGCCCGCTCAAGTCCAACTCAGTCTGCAGTCTTGTCATTTTGCACGGGGAAGTGTTTGCAAACGTCTTTTCAGTTAACTAATCTTTAGGTCAGGGTTCAGCTCGGGATTAGACAACATGCCACCTGTGCCTCACCTGTATCCTTTTTATTTCCTCCCCCCACCTACACGGTCGTTATAGTTTTATTTTTGGCTTTTCAATCTCTTCTTTGTATTTCTCTCCTGTACGCCTCAAAGTTCAGCTTCAGACTGATTGCACTGACTAACAGGCATGTTTTCAGCTTTCTTGAACTACCTTTTTTTGGCCGTAGAAGCAAATGGATATCTAACAGTGGGTAAGCACTATACTCTTGGACGAACAGTCCTCCTTATTGATTATGAATTAAGAATAGCTGTTAACTGAAAAGACTTGCAAATGCTCAAAACATGCATGATCTTTACTACAACCTACCCTTTGTTTGCATATAGTTACAAGTATAGAGTATTCCCAGGAAACTCTGAGAGATGGGTATCTTGTTTTCCATTTGAAACAGCAGTTCTGGCAGAGCTTGCACATAACTGTTAGGATGGTATAGAATCACAGCAGCCCGAACACTAGTCTTTTGATTTTGTAAAACCCCCCCCCCCCCCCCCCCCCCCCCCCCTTTTTTTTTCTTTTTTTTTAAAATACTTTGCGTGTTTGATTTTTCCAAGACAGCTTGTTTTATTCTTCAATCATCGGTTTTCTTAAATGCATGTCACAACTTGTTTTTCTGCAAGGTGAATGCTACAATTTGAGTCAGCAATTAGCAGACCTAGGCCACTGTTTATGATCTCAGTGTTGGCTCTAACCCGCATCACCTGTGGTTCAGAACAGATGGCTGCAGAATCCAAACACTCTCCAGCTCAGCAATATTTAGAGCTCCTGATTGGTCAGTGATTCGTAGCTGAAAAGTGAAGGTTCCTCTACGTTTAAGCCTTGACATGCTCCACAGTCCGATTTGCAGTTTTGGCCTCTTTTTTTTCTCAGCTCAGTTGGCACAATAAATTTATTTATTTTTTTGTGCAGTTGTTTTGTATTTGGCAGCACAGTGCAGGATTTCAGCACATTTAAAGCCCGTCCCGTCCTTCCTGCAACTTCCTCTTTCCCACACACCCCTCACCCTTCCATCTGTGGGCTGTTGGTTGCCCCCTCCTCTCCGCCCTCTGCTCTTATTTTTAATGCATGGCTTCCATGTGGCGCCTCCATCTGCCCCCCTGAACCCCGCAACCAGCTCGAACTCTGTCAACCTGAGGCAGACTGCTGCATCGACAATGCTAAGCGTGCTCACAGCATGGTCCTTCTCTGGTGTGTTGTCCAGTGCGCTTGTCAGGAAGTGGAATGATCTGTAGGTTCACCCTCACTGCAGAAAATGTCGATGTTGGGATGCGCAGATATTCTTCAGAGCAATTTGTCACACTTGATAATGCATGACATAACCAGGGTGGGAAATTAACCATGCTCTCTATCCATTTGCAACAGTTTATTAAAAAAAAAAAATTATGCAAGCAACACATGTTTCTTCAGTGACTAAAAGAGGCGATTATACAAATTAATTTTCTCAATGCGTAGCCACATATGGCTTCACTGTGGCACCTTTTGTAAGCATTAAACAAGTGAGGAATGGCTTAAAATCTGCATATGGATGATTTTAATTTTTCACCCTGTTTCATGTGTTAAAATAAGGCAGTTTATGTGTTTTACATAATATAAGATGAAGCTGGACCTCACTAAAGGCCTGTATAGCACATGTAAAGCACAAAATTATAGCTTAACCAGAGTTCATTTGTGATTCAGTCCTTCTCTTGTATTCTTTCAGCTACTGCAATTTTTAGACGTCTGCTTCTTTAAATAGCTCTGCTTTCTCCTTGTAAAAAGGACTCATTACCTTTGAGGATTCGTTACATCACATTGTGTTGTCCTCTAATCAGTGTGCTTCAATTTCTAAGTCTCTGCATTTATTCCACACATTGAGTGGATTGATTAACTTTGTTTAGACAGTACATTACTAAGTCAGAATTAGAACAAGAGAATTGAACTATCAGCTGTATGTGAATATTGACATGTCTTCTTCCTTGGCTCCTTTAGCTGGTGCTCCCAGAGTATCTTATCCACTTCTTCTTTTGCGTGATGTTCTTCTGTGCGGCCGAGTGGCTCACCCTCTGTCTCAACTTACCACTGCTGGCTTATCATGTCTGGAGGTACGTATTCGAAAACACTGATCCTAGAGTCAACACCTGGTTTTACTTAACTAAACCTTTGTAAACAGGTCACATCTGCGTGTAACTCGCTGCTTTCATGTTTGCCTTTCTGCAGGTATATGAGCAGACCTGTGATGAGCTGTCCAGGACTTTACGACCCAACAACCATCATGAACGCTGACATCCTGGCGTACTGTCAAAAAGAAGGCTGGTGCAAACTGGCTTTCTACCTCCTGTCATTCTTCTACTATCTCTACGGGTATGTTTTTCACTTGTATTTTTCTGCTCTTTACTTTACTTTTAATTTGTATCTGCTGAGAGAAGAATCTTTGAGACTTGGACTTCATTACGGCGGCTATTGTTTGCATTGCAAAAAAATGTGTGGATATGAAGATATGTTGATCCTGGGGTAGTTTTGTCAGAGAGGCGGACACCACTTTATTTGTTCGTTGAAAGGTAGAGGCAGTCAGTAGTGACAGGAGAGCAACACAGCATGGCTCTGTCTAAAATCTGCCTACCAGCAGCTTTTAAAAAGGCGCTCAGTCTTCCTTTGTCAAACAACAATTTGTGGATTTATGTACCAGCCTTGATGCTTATTTAGATATTCCTCTTGCTCTCTCCAACAGGATGATCTACGTTCTGGTGAGCTCTTAAATGGTGCGATGAAGCAAAAGGACCTGCATGTACAGCAAACGACCAGACACTATGATCTTAGTGCTGGAGCACTGGACCTGCTGGAGACCACCTTTCAGCAACACAAGACGCCATTTCCAAGTGGACAAACCTGTCATTTCAGAAACATTTAGCCAGTTTTAAGAGAATCCTGGTTGCAGTGTTCCTCTAATAGCACTATAGTTACAAAGCTTTTATGGAAAATACGGACAGACCTGAATGGACACATCTTTCTCTCTTTTTTCCCTGTTTTTTTTAATAGTGTTTTTTTGTTTTTTTTTTAAATATGCTTGGGATTGAAAATAAAGTTTGCTTTTTTTTCATCACGTTCCCAACTGTTGAGTGTTTACAGACTAGGTAGACATTTTCAGGTGTGCATTTATCTGTGAGAATCTAAGCTGTGTGCTGAACTGCATTAGCTTTTTCTGTGAATAAGATCCCGGGCTTTAAAAGCCAATTTACACCTGCCACGTGACTCGTTACCATGACTAAAATGAACAGCGGAGTGTAAAACAGACTTTTGTTCTTGCCCGCAGATGCAGAAGGTCTTATAACGTGACACTTTGAGGGCTGAAGTGCATGTTAACGAAACGTGCCGCACAAGGACGGTAGTAGTCTGGTTGTCGGTTATCACCTTTCAAGCTATCTGATGTATTGTTTCCATGCATCCCTGTCAAACTATTGCTGATATGTTTTCTTAAGTGTGGACCGCCATGTGTGTGATCTGTAGACCCGTCCTTGCAGGTATCTGTAAATAAAAGGTAGACTCAACAGTACTATAATGCAGCGGTTCCCACGGACTGGTTTGTGCCCGACAATATTTTCACGGACCGGCCTTTAAGGTGTCGCGGATAAATACAACAAAATAAAACTAGGACCGGTACCGAAAACAGATTTATTCATAACACACGTGAAAAGACCCAGGAAAACAGAGTTAACAACAAAAACGATAACAAAATAACGCTTAAAAACCCTGAAAACCATACATTTCACACCAGAGTCTCAACTCTCCCAGGCGACGTACTGGTACCGGCCCGGGGGTTGGGGACCGCTGCTTTAATGTATTCACCGTTAGGAAGGAACACTATCCTCCTCTTTCCTTTCGGCATTCAAGTTTTGATCGACATCAGCTGATGTGCCATACTGTTGAATGTACCTTTGAATTTCTTTTTGTCGTTGTGCGTTTTAATTTCAACACCAAATATTCCACATTGTTAGAAGATCCAACGTTTTATTTTTCATGTTTTCAATTTGACCTTTTTTCTTGTTTTTAGTAATTCTTCAGAATATCAAGCACTCCTCGCAGTATCGCTCATCTCCAGAATCAGAATCTAGACTGATGTTTTAGGCCACTGCAAAAAAAATTTCATTCATGTTAGAGTATTTATTGTCATGTTTAACATGTAAATTTATCAGGGAAAAGGATTATCATTTGTCACATTCAAATAAAGAAGTTTTTATGTGTTAGATCACATCAAATTACATCTAGGAAATTGTTTATTTAAATCTAAATAAACTATCCTGCTCTATTAACGTGGACTGGAGTGTTATTTCTATGCAAATGTCAACAAAAAACCTTAAGACAGCCCTCATGTCTTTATATTTTGCCTGGATTTTCAGGCTGCTTCAGGCTTTTATTCAGACATTGGTTTCTTTTCACTCATTTTCAGTCCATTTCTTTTCAGTCTTTTTTGATAAGCCATATAACACTGGCCTATGATAATCCAAGTATAAAAAGGCAGCAAGTGTTGTCCACAAACCGCGTGGTTTGTGGACAACACTTGCTGCCTTTTTATACCCCCCCCTCAAAAAAAAAAAAAAAATTAGTTACTCGTACCCTGTCACCAAAACACAATGTTCCTATTTCTTTAGTTGACTCTATTAAAATCTATTGTACTTTAAAAAAAAAAGATAAGGGTGGCTGGCAAGAAGCCGTTCTTAAAGAGGAGCAATAGAAAAGGCTGAGGTATGCTAAATTATACAAGAACTGGACTAAATCCAAAATCAATCATTGTCAAAGTTGATGGAATTATGAATGCAGAAAAGTACTGTGGGATTGTGATCCACCATGCAGTACCATCTGGAAAGCATCTGATTCGCATCAACTTCATTTTTAAAGACACTGCCAATGCTGTAAAAGCATGCCTGGGTAGAAAAACAAACAATGGAACACTATCAGTCGTAGACTGGCCTCCCCGGAGCTCGACATTACTTAAGCACTGTGTCAGCAAACATCAAAAGATGTACCGAATGTCCCTCAAGAAGCTTGGAGAACTATTCCTGCAGATTACTTAACAAAATTACTAAAAAGGTTGTCTAATAGCAAATGTAGGGCGCAATAGAGGAAATGCAAACGTTATTGGCAATTCACTGCTGCAAGTGGTATGAGTCACAAAATGTAGATAGAAAAATATAAATTGTGGGATATTTTAATACGATGAAAAATAAAACATAACGACTTTGCAGCATTAGATTTTGTGCTACAAAGAAGGAACCATTACAGTTCACACAAGCCTAATTTCATCATTAGCTTTAGTTCCCAAAGACCCCATTTGAGTAATTTCTGGTTTCATTGAAGAAAGTAACTTAGAAATTTTAGAAATAACTGATAACGTCCACATTTAGAGATAGACTTGATGTCTGAAAAGCTGTTGTGCAGTTTTATTCCCCTTAAATAAAAAGACCATTGGAAAGTACACACATATTGCCCAGCTGACATAGCACTTTAACACACACCATTATTTTATTTGCAATATAAACGAAACAACATTTTCCATCTAATAACATAAAGCAGTATCTCCTCATCAAGTCTTTAATGAATTATAATGAGGATGATAAAAAGCAATATATTACAGTGTTCATTCTAAAGTGCATTTCTCAAGAATATAATCATACCACCACACAATCAGGAAAGCATCACTGGCAAACAGGCAAGCTTGAGGAACTCGAGACTTTTCCAGCTCTGTAGAAAGGAGCAGTAATCACCGAGACACCGAGCGCTCCGAGCGAGCTTCACTTTCACTTTGGTAGGCTGTGTACTTTTCCCGAAACTCGTGAAGGAAGTTGTATTGCTACAGAAAAGTAAAAAGATGCTGGTAAATGGAAAATTAGGGATCACACAACAGAAAGACTAAAGTTTTAATAAATCAGAGACTATATAATGCTGTGAGGATACTTTCTTCATGAATTCAGAGGCTTTATTTATAATTTATGGTGTTTTGATTGACTGGCAGTTGACACAGCCATCTCTGGGGTTTACAGAGAATAGACTGAAAACAAAAACAAATCAAATAACCACATCCAAGGAATGTAGAAAAGCATCTCTGACAGTGTACATCAGCAGAAGACCACACTTGTCACTTCTCTTTATGTCACTTCTCTCAGCAGGACAGGAAGTGAAACTACAATTCACACATGCTCACACATCGAGAGGACTGTAAAAATGTTGCCTGGTGTCATGAATCTCAATTTCTGCTGCAAGATTCCTGGGGTAGGGTCAGAATTTGGGGTAAACGGCATGAAAGAATGGCTCTAGTCTGCCTTGTATTAGTGGTACAGGCTCCTGGCGGTGGGATAATGGTGAATGGGACGCTTTCTTGGCACAATTTGAGTCCCTTCATACCTGAATTATTACTGACCATGTTCATCCCTATATGACCAGTGTACCCATCTTCCAATGAGTGTTTCCAGGATGACACCATGTCACAAAGTGTCTTATAAAGGTTTCTTGAACATATCATTGAGTTCACTGTATTCAAATGGCCTCCACAGTCACAAGATGTCAATCTAATCACCAGGAACTGTGTCAATGTGGACTAAAATCTCTGAGAAGTGTTTCCAGCACCTTGTTGAATCTGATGAATGAAGAACTAAGGCAGGTATGAAGGCAAAGGGGTCCATTGCAAGTACCCAATATCAGGTACTAACAAGCTGTACCTAATAAAGTGACAGTTGGGTGTAAATTGATTATTTTACATAAGCAACATTTTTTCTTTTTTTTTTTTCCATTTATAAATTAGATCCCCAAGACTCTTCTAGGAGCAAGTTACCTGAAAATCATGAGGTTCTGGTTTTAATCACTAGTTACAGATCTTATTGCAATCTGTTTAGAGTAACAGTGACATAGCAGTGAATGATCAGACTTAGAATAAGGTGAATAGCAAACTGCTTTCATATAGGTATGTAACAGTATTTACAGTTTCTCATCAGATCCACCGCTTGCTTGCGACATCTGCCAAAGCTGAGGCTTCAAAACACAAAACACAAACCAATGGTTGGAGGCTCAGTAGCTACGTCCATTTTTTACATGCAGTTCTTCCACGTTTATGCTTTTCTTTTCTCGAGCAGATTCAATTGAGCGTTTTGATGTTAGAGTTAATTTTTAACTACAATTTTGTTGTGCCTGTACAATGACAATAAATTCTATCCATCCATTCTCTTTTCGCTTATCCTTGTCAGGGTCGCAGGGGGCTGGAGCCTATCCCAGCTGTCTGTATAGCCCGCTAAGGGGGAGAGGCAGGATACACCCTGGACAGGTCGCCAGGCTGTCGCAGGGCTAAAAAATTCTATTCTAATCTAATTTATTAATCGCACCAATTTTAGACCATCAAATGTCTCTGCAAGGTACAAACCAACAAAAACACGAGTTTATAATAAACTAACAAAAGCAGCAAAATGACCCCTTAAAAACTACAGATGAAGAGGAAGAAAAGCAGCGACTCACCCTCACTGTTTGTATTGCTCCTCCTCCTCTGTGGTGCCTGAGGATTTCGATGGCTTTGTTTGGCGTCATTGTGGAAGAGAGTTGAAGCAGCAGGCAGGCAGCGACTGCAGGGCAAACAACAGCCATGTGATGGGAGCAGTGACATTAAATTAGGTTACATGACATTTCTGATGTTGGACAGAGAATGTTCGATAGAAAACTTCAAAATAAAAGAATAATAATCTTACTTAATGCTGAGCGTCCCAGGCCCCCGTAGCAGCTGAGGAGATAGGGAAAAGGAAAATGACAAAATCCAATGAAATTGACAGCTAAAGAAAAAAAACTGTTGTATTGTATAATGAAAGGTGTCCCGAGGAGCTAAAAATAGATGTATTTGTGGTGATATGATGCCATTTGGCACTTCAAAGTTTTATGATACCAAGGTGTCCTTTATTGGACAGGGAATACTGTGGTAGCGATACCTCTCAGCATTAAAATTAAAACCCACTCATATCATACAAGTTCAGGACAACCAGTTTCCTCCTGTTGCCTAGCGAGCAGCTTTATAAGCTCTCTGGGAGAGTGGAGAGCTTCTCAGGGGCCTTTTAGTAACAACAGTAAAAGCTCTGCTCACTTCAGATCTCCTGGTTTTAGAGAGCGACACAAAAACCTCTCTTTACTATCCAATCTGATCTGCTTTTGTAGGTAACTCTGTTTAACCCTGGTCAAGCGTAAAAAAAAAAAAAAAAAAAAAAAAAGCTTAATCAGAATAAAAATTCATTTTTTCCCGCTATAAAACTGATTTGTGTGGGATCAAAGAACCACCCAGCAGTTCAGCTGATATCCATCCACTCATTCTGGAATTCTAAATCATTTACTGCCATATGTAAACAACCTTCACTACTTCAAATATGATTACTGGAGGTTTATACTTTCTACTACTACTTGAGTCTTTCAGGTAATTATTTAAGAGTTCTTGAACAAGAATCTCAAGGCTTTCTGGAGATCTCAAGTTTTTTTGGACACTGGCTTCTTTTTCACTCGTTTTGAATCCAGTCCTTGTACCTGAACATTTTCAGAAGGTTTTCTTTCATATCTACAGAAAATGCCAAATATAACATAATTGCACCAACAAGGTGAGTCCGAAACAGCTATTAAACGTTACACAAGGCAATGATCCAAAATACACACCCATAGCAAAGTATTCTTGGATAGAAAAGCACACAGTGGAACACCATCGGTCATGGATTGGCCTCCACAGAGCCTGGAGCTCAACATTTTTAAAGCAGGGTGGGATCATCTTGACACAATGGAACCAAAGGCAGCCAACATCGAAAGAAGAGCTTTGAATGTTGTACAAGAAGCCTGGAGAACTCTTCATGAAACTACAAACAAGATATTTTCCTCAAGTTAGCTCAGGATGTGTTGAAGAATGAAGGTGGTCACGCCAAATACTGACTTTCGAGCTTGTTCAAATTGTACAAACTCTGTTTTCTTCCTCTTCTGTTGTGTTTACATGTTTCACATTTTAATACATCCCCCATTTTACTAGCAAAAGATTTAAAAAAAAAAAATCTTAAGATTTTTGCACAGTACTACATGCTAATTCTCCTCTCTGCTTTGTCTGTACTAATTAGCAGGTAGACATCACGCACTGTGTGGAACATTAAACTGAACTCAGTTTTGACTTACTGGATCACCGTCCTCCTGTCATTCTTGAGGCTGATCTGCAGCTCATCAAGGATCTGGCAGCACTGGTTCAGCTCAGGTGCGTCTCCATCTAGAAAAGGCATGTGGTGAACCCTGAAGCCCTGCTGCTGGTAGACCTCCAGCAGTGAGGGAACCCTGTATTTGCTAAGCTCTCCTCTTGTGCAGAAAACAAACACATCCTGCACCCCCTGGTTCTGGAGCTCCTCTGTAAACAAGAAGAGAAGTTTCTCTTGTAAAACGGGAAAACCCCAGGTTATCCACATTTTTTCCACCACTTAAGGCTAATTTCTGCATAAACATACTATTTATAAAATACTGTGAAAAAATGAAATAATAAATCAGATAGCTAAGCGAATAAAATGTTTTGCATAAAGTTAAAAAAGCATCCACTATCAAGTTTGTGCTTGACTTCTGGTGAGTTCAGTTCTAGTATTTTTTATAAATTTTTTAATGTGCGCTAATTAGAAGGTATCTGTACAGTTAATGAGTGTAGGCTGTATAAGATGACAACACTCACTGACTGACTTTGACTCAAAAAAAACATACTCAACGTGATCTAAATTGACAGATTTTTGCACAGACAGGGTTGCATTCAATACTATTGTACATGTGCAATGACAACAAGGATTGTTAATTCTTATTACAAAGTCAAGGTTTTCTACATCTTACAGTAAAGACTATTTTTCAACATTTAAAATATATGTTGAAATCTTGCTTCTTAATTAAGTGGTTAGATTCAAACATCTGCTTGTGAATGCTAATTACATCTGGTAAAATCAGGATCAGCACCAACTTACCAATATCTCTTTGCAGACATCTGCGGATTTCTTTGTATTTGCAACCTTTAGTCAACAAAAACAAAACAAAAAAGAGCAAAAACAAAAAAAAAGTCAGGAAAAAACCAAAATTCAATATACGATGCAGTAAATACAGTAGACAAATTGTTTCACCTGGTAGTGCACATATTCCAAGAAACTGCGGGCACCCTACTATGGATAGCGGCAACCTTAAAACCAATGAAAACCAATATTAACAGGGTGATATTTGTTTGTGTCCATGTCAGCAAGAACACGTAGACATCCACACAGCTTTTAAATTGATCAAACTTACCAGGAGATGTGCAGTGGAGTCAGCTCCTCTTCTCCGACCTCATCTTCAGATGAAGAGTCAAACTCGCTTGTCCTCATTTCTTCAGCCCCCCCCTAAACAGCTGAGAAGCGACACACTAAAGTTTACTTACGTTTGGCAACCGACACTTTACCGGTCCTGATAATATTCAACAATATATCATGAATTATACCGTTTTGAATAATCGCCAGATAAATTCACATCACTGTAATGTCAGACATGCAGAGATTAATAAAAATTTCCATTGCAATATCAAAATGTAATATATTTACTGCCATAACAAGCTTGCTGTAGTAGGTTTTTTTGTTTTAAAAAAGGCTAGGCTCCCTGCTTTTAGTTGAAGAGTTTTCCAGTGTCACAATGGATTTTTTTCAGGTGGTGACTAACTGTGTTGAGCATTATCAAAACCCACAGTAAAGGTGATAAATGTGTGTAATCATTTAGCAGAACTCTATGCATGATCATGTTTTTTCTGACCATTTTATTAACAAAAAATATATCTCCACGTCAAGTCATACTGCCAATGATGATGTAAAGTAAATGATATTCAAACACAATGCAACTGCCCTGATATTAGGCCTGCCATTATTAAGGCATTTAAGAGGTTTATGTAGAAGTCAGGTTAATGTGTGGATATAATTTCCTTAGGGATTAATAAAGTATTCTTATTCTGATATAAGATTCTCTAAGGAGGCTTCAAACCAATCCTTCAGCCTCAAGGTAAACAAAATATCTACACACTTGATTCTCCAATATTTTGCAGGTATAAAATTTCCGATAAATATAAAGTTTGATTTATTATGAACATTATTATCAGAACTGACGGTTTATTTCACATCGAACCCAGCTAACGCTAGCTGTGCAGCTCATATCAGAACACGATAACAACAAGACCAAAATTAAATAAAACCACCATCTTACTGTCGCCCAAAATAAACAGAAAGCTCCGTAGCTTTAAGGAAATACATGTCTGTGAGTAAGTATTCAGAATATCGGAGTAGTGTCGTGATTTCTCACCAGTCACGCGATCTTCCTCGCGACTGTTTTGACAGCCCTGTAAGTCTGTCGGCAGCTGCAACAATTTAAAAACTCCATGAAGCACGCAGCCAATCAGATTCGAGCAATGACCCTTGGCCACACCCCAGGGCAAAACAAAACAGGGGCTTGTGCGTTCGATTTAACCAGAGGAGTCATCGAGGCGGGCGGAATAAACATACGACTAGAAATTACACAAAATCGGATATTCTTAGAATTAAACAGACTGGGTCTTACAGGGTGGGGTGTACAGTATATACACATATAATATTCCCATACTAATGTTCATATTTCAGTTAAGCGTATTTTCGTAATGTATTGTACACACAATACAACAAAGCAGGCATTTCAAAACGTATTTCTCAAGAAATGGGGTAGGTAAAAGAGATTGTGGCCATTTTCTGCATTGTGGTGAATTCTTGTGCGCCAATTTCTGCATCAATTTAACGAGGAAATGTTGTTATTTACTTACTGTAAAACACACACAACAGGCACCAGGTGGCAGCCAGGTGCGCGAAACACATTTTCGTGCTCTTTGCTATGTCAAACTTTATTGTCCCTTTTAAATGAACAAACAGATAAAAATTTGTAATTTTTCTATTTACATATTGAAAACCCTTGGACGTGTATTTAAGTGTCATGCCAATAAAATATAGGCATTACAACAATTTAAATATGTTTAATAAATTGAAAAACAGAGCACATTTGCACAACAGCACCAAACGGGCAATCCACTATGAAGCAACACTTGCTTCATAGTTCACTGAGCGTCACGCAGGACATCTGCTGTCTGCACAGAGCAGCACACAGAGCCTCACGACCCTTCACGCTGCAAACCAGTTCTGACGTTAGAACAGCAGAAAAGCGGAGACCTGGAGGTTTTTAGGATTTACTGGACCTCTTTCGGATGTCTGAAGAAACACTGTTGAGGAGCTCTGACTAAGGTGAGCTGCTTTAGCCTTCTTTTACATTGTTTGCTTCAATAATCAGCTTTTCTCTCATGTATTGTGAGTGGTTTGATTGATGTTTGGACATCCCTAACATGTATATGTGTTCATAAATATTTTTTTTTTCTGTAAATCACAGTCTGGCATCCTGGAATAAAAAACCCATGATGTGCATTATTTCACAGAATTAGAAATAATTGTAAGGCTATAATGAATCTCTATAATAAAGTGATCGTATCTGGTTTATTTGATATTTAAAAAATGAATCCAATGCATGTTTAATTTGTCTTTTTTTGATGATCCCTGCCTCTCCTTCTGTCAGCAGACTTATAAGGAGGGATCTTGGCTCCTGCAGCCATTTCCCCTGCAGGGCTGAGCTCTTTGGCTGGCTTGCCACTTCCTTAGCAGAGGGACTGCTGGCAGGGGCAACATCTGAGCAGGTACCACAAACAAACAAGATGCAGAAGTTATTAAATCAGGTTCTTTGAATAATAAGAAAAATAGGTTTAGTTTGCTGAAAGAGAGATAGATTGACTTGCGTGCTTGGTCTCCATCTGAGTTTTTTTGGATTATGTAAATCAGAAAGATGACTGTGAGTGTCAGCAAACACACTGATTATTAATGTGTTTGTGTTTGTCTCCCTGCACAGGTCATGAAGCCTCAGGAGGCAGAGCTTGTTACTGAAATCTCCAAGGTATGCTGAACCTTCCCTCATCAGCCAGCCTGGATTTGTGAGACATATTAGTTGAACTTTGATGACCAAAATAGCGTTTAGACGATACTATGTCATCCCCTCCAGTTACAATGCATGGTCTCGGAGCTGAAGTCGGGGTTCACCAGCGCTCTGCTGGAGCTCAGTCAGATCCAACATGGAGACACATACCTGAGAGAGGAGCTGGAGGAGAACAGGAGGAGCTGTCAGAAAAAAGCTTTAAGGCTGGAGGCTCTAGTCGACTCACTGAGGGTAAGACTTAAAAATTAACCCGAAGGGTTTCTCATATTTCTCCACAAGTGATGATGCTCAGCTACTTCTAGATCGAAAGCTCAGCGTCAGTGCTTTGTCAACTACAGGAGGAACTGAGTGTGATGAGGTGTCAGATCGTGCAGCTGTACAGCAACAGACACAGACCTCAGCAGGATGGAAAAAGCTCCACATCCAAGCAAAGAGAAAGGTACACATGTACCACGACCCTGGAAGAATGCATTGCTATTGCTGACATACCTCGGTAAAAAATTCAGCATGGTATCATTAAAGCACAGCTCAGATGATTTTTAGCCTCGAACAGTCCATCATTAACCTCATCCTTACATCTCATCTTTGCCTCATGAGTCGTTTGGACCTTTATTAGTCAATGCAAGCTCATTTCTCCAACATTTTATCCATAGGAGTAACACCTTTTTCCAGTTTTGCAAACCTTGAGTTATAAAGCAATTAGATTCATGATGTGAATGCACAGTAGAGACTGTAAACATTTTTAGGTAAGATTATAAGTAGTAAATGCTGTCATTTGTTCACTGCTGTGCAGCAGCGATCCAGCTGAGCCGCAGCGTGTACAGCGTCAGTGTGATTGTTCATCCGCTCCACCTGCCTGTCTGTCCAGAGGAAAACTGCTTCTTCACTGTTTCCTGCAGGGCCTCAAAGCTGGTCTCAGTGAAGGCACAGGTGAGCTCACACGTCACTTGTATAGATGCAGAGTATTTTCTTCTTCTTCTGATTTTGCAGATTCATCATCCTTTTCTTTTTTCTTTGGGTTTTACAGATGCACGCCATCAGGTCACGATGCAGCTCCTGCACTCTGAGTGGGAATATGTGTCAACCTTAAACCAGCTGTACGACAAATACAAGACCCCACCGGCTCACCACATGACTGCAGAACCATAGTAAGTGCTGTAGAGGATTTGTGACCCTTTTTTCCACTGTGAGTTACAGAAGTTTCCATTTGTGGTAAAAGATTCTGTGTATGCGTGTGTGTGTTTTCTGTGATCCAGTCAGACCTATTTGAAGTTTGTGGAGCAGCTGTTACAGCGCCATCTGCTCTTCAGAAATACACTGCAGGAGCGGTTATCAGCTGAACACTGGAAATCTCTGATTGGAGACATCCTGGTGCAGCTTATTGGCCACAACGATGTAAGCCTATGTTCTGTTGTGACGTTTTTATGATTTAAGTCTATCTTTCATTTCCACTGATACACAGGTTTTCATATTCTTCCTCATTTGTGTTGTCCAGACAGCTTTTTCAGACATGTACCTCGGATACACGACAACCCTGGCGTCATTCCTCTCACTTGAGTTCAAGAGACTCAATCATCCTGACAAGAGTCAAATTTTGCAGGTATTTCAAGAGATTTACCATTAACATTGTTCAGCTAAAATCCACCAAGGACACCAGAAAGACGCTTTGTGTCTTGTTTTACAGGGCAGCCAGATGGAGAGAGAGGAAATGAAACTGCTCTCCTTGCTTTTGGCACCTGTCGCGCGCATACACAGCTACCTGAGTCACATTCAGGTGAGTCAGCAGCCAGAGCAAATCCAGTTTTGAAGATCTACAGATACTTTCAGTGTATTAATTTAAGTTAATTTAGTATGGATTTGACTTGACAGCTTACTCTTCCTTCTCCAGAACCTCTTGCAGTGGACTGGTAAAGAGCATCCTGACTGCAGCCTGTTGTTGGGAACTGAGCGAGCTCTGAGGAGCATTTTATCCCGCTGTCATGTAATTCTCGAGGAAGACGTCCGGTGGGAAGAAGGAGAAGTAGCTGGACAAAGGTAAGAGCATTATCAAAGATGTCAGATTATTTGTTTCAGATTTGGGTTGCTGATGTGGAAGTCTCACAGAGGACCTATTTGCTAGTTTTCATCTCCATGTTTTTATTTTTGGACTTTATTAGACTAGTTTTGCATGAATCATAGTTCAAAATATTATTGGCTGCCCGCTGTAAACAGGTGGTTGTGGTTATGTGCCCGAGATGATCGTAGTAAGGATATCCACTGTCATTCACATGATAAAGCTCCATGAGTAGAAAAACTGTCTAGAAACAAGCATTTGGTGCAGTGTTTTGAGCTTTTCACTCACAGGGATTCCACATATGCTGACCTCATTATCTGAAACTTTTTCCATCATAACACAGTACATTATATGTGTGAGAAAATACAGAAGAGCACAATAGCTCCACCTGCATTTGTCTGCATTTAGAGTTTTGCAAGTAAACTTGTTCTTTGCATAAAAAGCACCTCTGATGCTGGGGCTGGCGTTTCTGCTGCAAACTGTTGCA